CAAAAGACGCACAATCAACTCTTTTAAAACACAAGCCTGGGATAAGATTTACGACTAAAGTTTGACTTGTACTCATGTATTAAGTCAAAAGTAAATTTAAAAGAACTTTTTAAAAAAATAAAAAGTGTAAATTTAAGATGCCTCATAACCAAAAAACCTAGGATTTAAAGCTATATGTATCTAATTCTACCAAAATCCTCTTCCACTCCCTTAAACACTTTTTTGTTTCTCTTTTTTTAAATCACTCATAAAATAGTAAGAGGAATGAGATTCATGTGTTTCCTCTTATTATTAATGTCTTTCTAGGCCTAGATCTCATCTCTAATCGAGCTAGCTATTGCCCAGCTAATATCCAATGACCCATAAACCATTGTCCATATACGATTAGGAACTAATGATTACGAAATTCATCCTCCCTCATTGCATATCAAATAGTTGTTTATCATCATATTTCACCTTCTCATTCACTTTATCAATAGTCAAGATACATTATTGCTCTACCTCCTATACAAAAAAGTAACTATAGGAGGAACATTCACCTTCTATATTTGTTGAAAGAAAACCTAGGTTCTACACCTTGATTCTTAACTAAATGATTATAGTATGAATTAACTATGAAGAAGCCATTATCCTTTAGTCTCCATAATAGTTGATCATTGTTTACATTTAGAGTGATAATAAAAAGTATATTTAATAAAAACATATATTTACTAAACTCTCAATCATTGAGATTCTTAACGACATTCACAATCCTCTTTCTATTCCTGCCATTATCTCAACCACACTCGTGAACTATGATGTCTTTATATCATGTTATAGCATAAACCTAAGAAAACTAGTCTATGAGTACTCCTCTTCTAAGCGAGGGGTCCTATAAAAAATTAATTTTGTCCCCCTACCTATAGTCCACATAATACGTTTCTGTAATTTATGCTCACCCATGCTAATTTTCCTTCACATTCTCTTCCAGCGCAGTTTCTCCACGACTCTAAAAACCAACCTCCGTCCATCATACCGAACTTTGCCCTAATCATCTCCATCAAAGAGTCTTGTTCTCTTTCATGAATCTCTATAGTCATTTCCCCTCTAAAGCCATATTCATCTCCACAAAAAATTTCAACCCTTAGAAATCATGGAAAATTAATTTTTTGACCTCATCCCGGTTCGATAGATGGTATTTCCTTTTTGTCCCCCAAATCACCTTAAAAAAACCTATACTGAATAAGTTCTTGTTTCTTAGTCACTATTATTAGGATTGTCAAAAGAGAATATAATAAATAGGTAGGTTAGCCAACGTACTTTTAATAAGTATCAATCTCCTCCCTTGATAAAAAGTTTCTCTTTCAACCTGCCAACCTTCTTTCAAAAATCTCCACCACCAGATCTCATAAACTCACATCTTTATAGTCTCTCAAAGGTGATCTCAAATACTAGTTGGTAATTCCAACGTTTTATATCCCAAGACTCTTGCCGACCTAGTATCATCTCTCCCGTCACCCAGACTCATTAATTCAAACTTGGTTAAGTTGATATTAATATCAACATAAAAGTCAACCATTTTAGTATTAGTTCTAAATTGACTATTTAGTTCAGTGTGCAATTTGGTATTTTTCTTCATATTGAAAAACAACTCATGACAGTATTTTGAGTTGATATCTTCGTCATGCTAACAAAATAAACTTGCAATCAAGTGTTTATAAAAGGTTGTCCATGTTCAAACACATTGTAATATTTCAAAAAAAAAAGGTCAATAAAAAATATAAATGCTACATGGGTTTCCAAATATTAATTCACCTTGTAATAAACACAGCCATAAAATCTTCTTCTTGGATTTGTCGAGCTATATAAAGTCCACTTTAATGCTTTTAGCGCATAGTGATAATAGACACTTTGATTACCATAATCAAAATCAATTGTTTGACATGTTATAATATTTGCAAAACATGAGTAACTGGACATTACTGTGTTTTTTTATGACACACAAACAAGTGCTAAAAACTAAGGAAGGGTAAAAAGTAGGTGATAAATTGGACTCATATTAATAAAAATACATAAATTATGAGATAGAGTCTGTTTGAGTTTGTGAGCTTGAATGTTAAGTTGATAAGGAAAAACTATCTAAACAATAGTCTTTACATAAGAGAGAGTAGTCATCTTCCTAAAAGCATCAACAAAGAACATATTTTGGCTAGTGAGATTACAGGTAAAATAGTTAAAAAGAAGAAATATACAATTTAAGTATGTAAATAACAATTCATGAATGATAGACTAACTTAGATTAGTTGATTGGAAAATGACAATGCATGTATGTAATTGACATGCAAGCAAAGCCACACTTAGTAATAATGGATGATCACAAAGCATGGTGATTCGTTAAAACATCCTATTTTTTTTTCTTCAAGTATGGGGGAGGAATAATAAATCTAGTGAGACGTTTTCTTATTAAAGTGCCTTCAACCAAGCAAAAATGCCTATTACAACAAATAATCAAATTTAGAAACCAACTTTCATTTCACAAGTATATTACTCACTTTAAAATATTTATTTCTATATTTTCTTTTTAGTAACCAATCTATTTATATCAATAGATTATATATATATATATATATTAATGGATGAGTTCCATGTATTTACATGTGATTAAGATTTAATTGAATTATTGTTTATTTATTTTTGTAAAACAAGAGTGAGAAATATTATTAGACAGATGAAAGAAAATCTTTATCAAGAAAGTATGAGAAACAAGTGACTATGAGACTTAAACTAATAAAAACACATAAATCAAGATATAGAACATGTTTGGCTTATAATCCTAAAATAAATCATTGATGTTAAGTCATTTGAGAACAATTATCTAAATGATAACCTTTGCACTAGAAGGAGTGCTCACTTTTCTAAGAGAATTAGTAAAGACCAGATTTTGGCTAGTGGGATTACGAGTAAGATATAGTAAAAAGAAAAAGAAAATAACAATATATGCGTCAAGCAAAAATTGACAAATGATAAATTAACTTAGATTAGTTGATAAGTAAATAAAAATGTATGCTTGCAATTGACATGCAAAGTCACACTTAGTAACACTGGATGATTTGCAAAGCATGGGCGATTAGTGAGAACATCCCACTCTTCTTTGGGTTTGGGGAAAGAGGAACAAATGTAGTGGGAAGTTTCCTTATTAAAATGTCTTCAAATAAACAATGGTACCTATTACAAAACAAAATAAAATTTAGAAACTAACATTCATTTCAGAAGTATATTACTCTTAACATATCTATTTTTACATTTTCCTTTTAGTAACCAATCTTTAGTAATTTTAGTATTCAGAGTTATTTAAAGTAAATAGTTCTCAAATAGTCCTAGAAACTTCTTTGACTCCTAGCTCCTATTGTCCAATGACTCTCCTTTTTATAAGGTCTTCCACATTTATTGTATTTCTTTTTATCTAAGAAGCTAGAAGCACGATATATATTTCAATCCATAGATTTATATTACCAATATTTCTTAGTAGAAATGCCATTAGAACTATATCAATCACACAAATGTCAAACTATTAAATAACTACATATACAAAAAAGATAACCAAAATTATGTCAAAGACAAAACAAAAATGAAAATAAGGAAAAAAAAAACAAAAACCCAACTCAAATGAAATTATCAGAAAATCATAAAATGAAAATACCAAAACCAATAACTCATCGAGAAAACATATTCACAAGCTCATATTTGAATGCTCGTATTAACGTGTTCAAAAGTTTTAAATCGTTCACAATTTAATCAAGGCTTACTTGTGGGTGGGATAAAAACGTAAGATGGAGGATGACTTCAAGATGTTTGTCAAAGAAAGAGTCACTGGAAGGAATACGACGAGGGATAATTAGCCACCATAAAGAAAGCACGAATTAGAGAGACCAAGGTAGTTTTAATCACATAGGTGATTTTAGAAATTTTGGGTTGTAAAGTTCTAATTAGTAGCTTGGTTTGATATTTTTACATGGACCAATTTATGTTATAAGGATTGGAAAGATCAAGTCAAATACTAATCATTAGATATGTGACATTTGATATAGATGATGATCCAAACCGAATGTGTCATATATTCGATTTAAACTTATGTAATATCTTTATTAAACGTTAATAATCATGAAATAAAATATAATTTTTTGAAAAATATATGAATCAAAATAATAAAAAAGTAATACACAAATTAATTTAAATATTTTAAAGTACCATAAAAATAAATTAAAATATTTTAAAATAATATAAAGACTAAATTAGTATCTCATATCTTTAAGAATATAATACACTAATTTAGATATTAGTTCAAATTTTTGCTCATTTATGGATTTAATGATTTTTTCAAATATATATTTTTTTTTACTTTTTAAATTTGCAAAAGAAAAGTACGCTTAATAAAAATAATATTTTAAATTAACATTGAAAATTTAAATATTAAATTATACAAAAAGTATAAGGGGCTAAAATTTATGATTAAAATAATAGTTTATCTTTTTCCTATAAAAAAAAAAATCATGAGGTGACAATTTTTAAAAAAGTGATGATTAGACGAAGTATTCCAACTATCACACGGTAATTCTTATGATTTGGAATTGTGATTGAACAAAACGACATGAAATAGAATTCTACTTTAACCTTTCTAAATAATCAAATAAAATTAAGAAAATTAAGAAATAAAAATGTTAAAATATAATTACTCAATAAATAAACCGTTTAAATGTTAAAGTAAATTAATTTATTAAATGAGCATTTAATATTTTCAACCACTAATTGAAACTATCTTTTTAAAGTTTTTTTATATTAATCATTAATCTCATTAAGATCTCGAAAAGGCTCATTAATTACTCGTTAATCTTTGTCTATTTGTATTTCAGTTCTATCAGTTTAATTAATAAACTCTCCAACTAATTAATCAAACATAAACATATTTTCTAATTAGGGATCGGAAATAATTACACGTTTACATAAACAGAAAAATATATCCTACTTAGCTCCAACTTCCACTTATCTCACTCTCTGTTCCACCGAGGATCTAGCTTGTCTTACCCATCACCATTTTCATTCTGATAAACCTATATATACACACCTATGTACATATAAGCTGTACATTATTGATGGATCCGAAGCGTACGGATAGCCCGGTTTATGCCCGAAAATGGACTAGCGAGTCAGGCGGCACCGGGGGAGCTTCTTCGCCAGCAATGTCGCCGGTCCGTCATCACCACGTGCGTTCGGCCTCTGCCTCCGGGATCTCTAGTGTCAAGAGGAACCAGAACTTCGCTGCCAAAGCCGCGGCTCAACGGCTGGCTCAGGTTATGGCTTCACAGACAGCTGACGATGACGACGATGACGACAGCGATGATCCAGGGTTTCGTTACAGTGCTCCTCCTCCCATCGCTCTATCTAGGAACGCTAACAGGCCTAGTAATCGTAGTAGGCCTCCTGATACTACTTCCAGGATCACGAGATCTCCTTCTCCTGCGGTACTTCCCGACTACTACATTTTCTGCACTTCTTATTCTTCTTCTCATTCAGCTTATTTGATACAATTGAGGAGTAGCTTAAGGTTTATTGTCTTTTTTGTGTGAGTTCTTGATTGTCAAATGAGATCGATGTACAAATGTGTGTTGTATACCAGATCTCTAGAGTGTGTTTAGAACTCTGTTTAGCGTCTATTGTTTGAATGAAATTTTGAGCTACTACACAATCGAGTTTTGCTTATTGGTCAATGCTGGATCCCGGTGAATCAAACGCTAACTCGATTTCTTTGATATCTTAAATTAGTTAGCTCGGAATTCTACCGAGGAAATTCCAGCCACTCGCTCGACATCAGCTGGAAGGCCGACAATGTCTGTTCGTTCAGCAACGCCTCCGGTGCCACCACCAACTAAAACAACTATCAGGACCCCAGTTGCTGTGCCATCCATAGAGGCACCTAAAAATTGGCAGAAGGAGAAAAGGCAAGGAAACCCATATATTTGTTTGAATTTAGAAAAGTAGTATACTTATGCAGCTACCTAGAAGTATTGTGGATGATTATATATATATTCTAAATCAAGTGCAAATCTATTGCGTTTGTGCGCATACTTAAATTTGAGATTTGAGAGCCTTTTGAAATCTGTCACTAAGGGGAGCGTTTTAAAATCAAAACACGAAACTCTTTACCTAAATAACTTGTCCTGAATCAGTGAAGTAGAAGTAGAGTTAAAAATGGCTGCTATTTGGTCTATATTGGGCATTACTGATTTTTCTGGGTTTTTTCCAATTTGGGAACATGGAAAATGTTGGTTAAGTTAATGTTTGAAAATGGAAGGTATGTAAGAGCTTGGTTTTGAACTCATCCAATTACTTAGATATATTGAGTCACACTGAAGAGATGCTTTCTGCTCTGGATGCATGTGCTGCTCGGATTTCGCAGGGAAAAATTTAGATGATATTTTTCTCTCTAGTAAGTAATTTTAGATATACCTAAAATATGCATCCAAATAAGTGCATATGTGTAGGAAAACTAATGGCAGAGTCACAAGTATTCTTAAATTTAGAGAAATAGAGGAAATATGGGGAAGAGAATAGAAGAATAGACTTTTGGAGGGAAATAGGGATAAAGGTGAAACTTTATAGGGAGTAAAGAAAAACAAGGTGAAGAATTTTATGTGGACATGAAGAACAAGATAGGCAGAAAAATACTAGACCAAAATGTAAAATACTTCGCTAGAAAATTGTCAGTTCCAATCTTCACATAAGTTGTCGACTAGAAAATATTTATATACTTTCTAACTCTAACTGAAAAAGAAAACAACTAATAGAAAAAAGGAAAACAAATCCAGTTTCTGAAAGTTCTTAACATTAACCGAGCTGACATGTGCCCTGATACCATTTGTAGTGCCTCGAGTCTAAGCACCACAAGTCCACATATCACAACTTTCACCACTCAAATCATTAATTTCCTGATCAAGATCATATATCACAAACACAAATTACAAGCTAAAGGCCATAAATATGCTTTGATACCATTCTAACGTCCCAAAAGCAAACACCAGTAGCTCAACAACTTCTCGGATTCAAACTGTTGAATATAAAAAACTGAGTTTATTATTAGTGTATGACATGAGCCCGGCTATGGAGCTTAACAATTGTATATTTTTCTAATGTGGGATTGAAGTATCATAATTCCTAAGATATTTTGAACATTTTCTCATATCTACTTTACTAAATAACCAAAATCTTATTGACACATCAACCATATAACCTGCCAATAATATAATAAAAAAATTTGTTTAAAAAATTCACTAAGACTTTGAGGACATTATTAAGGACAAAAAAACTTCAGCAATATCTTTTGTTGTGATCATAAGAGACCACAATATTAGATCTATAATTTTTAAAATCTGAAATGGTAATATACTTGATAGAAAACTAGTCAAATATGATGACATTATAACGACTTATATATGATAAAAAAAATCAGTTCAAGAGAAATATAACTTCTTACTGATTTCCTTATTTAAAATATAATAATAACAATAATAATAAAAAAGACTGGTAACGAGAAAACAAAATTCAAAGTTTCCATATTTCCTGTATTGGAAATAAGAAGAATCTCTAAAAAGTATTGTAATCAGTTCCTTCTTTAGGTTAGGTGATTCTTCATCGGTATGTATTTGAAAATTTATTTGCATGTTTACTTGTATGTATGAATGTATGTTATTTGTTTGAATACTGAACATTAGATTGTTTCACCATTTTGGAAGTTTGCATCAATTACTTAGTGCCAAAACTAAATAAGTATTATTACAGATTCTCATCAGATATTGGACATTTCAACTCAAAAGATATTGGAGATCAGCGTGAGGTTTCTGCACTTCGTGATGAAGTATGCAAATTATTTTTGTCAAATTTTTATGCAGTATTATTCGAACAAGCAGTCTCTAATCCAGAGGCACAAGATGGATTTATTCATATGTTCTGCAAATGCTTAAATATCATTGCAAATTGACAACTATTTAACTTGCAGCTTGAGATGCTACAAGAGGAGAATGAGAACCTTCTTGATAAGGTGCATAACTATTCTGCCTCCCACCCTCTGTCTCTTGGCTTTTTGTTTCACCAAAAGACTTCTGTTTATCTGTGTCTTACAGCAATTTGTATTGTAACGATTCCTAAATTTATCGTACAGCTCAGACTTGAGGAAGAGAGATGTAAGGAAGTAGAGGCCAGGGTTAGAGAGCTTGAGAAACAGGTACTTCTTTGCTTCTCTGAATTGTAACACGATGGTTGCATTGTGGTTATCTGCATGGTTCAATTTGCAATACCAACTCTTTATCATACAACCACCACCACAATCCTTAGAAGAAGCATAAAGTAGAAACTTTTTAGGTGCATATTTTAAAATCTCTGGACTACATGTTTGACATTAACAATATCAATATTACTAAATTGTTTCAGATTAGAAGCTTTGTATGTGCTTGTTTCTAAATCTTTGGACTATATATGTTTAACATCAACTTTACCAAGATTGCAAATTGTTCGTCTTCCAACAAATGCACGTCTTGCTATAGGCTCATAACATTAATATATGGTATTTTTATCTCCCAACTCTTGAGCATAGATTGGGATTTGTTGGATGGGTTTATTTTCTGTAACATAACCTTGCATTCCACAGCCTTGAATGAATTGTAAGTAAGAGCTTAAGCAAGCAACTTACTCATCACTTCAAGCCTCTTTAGGCTAACAGGGTTTTCTCTTAATCGATAAACTATATCAGCATTGCTTTATAGCTTCTTTAGCATCCTTGTCTTCTTTTTTTTTTATGCATATTGGATTAACTTTAGGTTTAAATAGATTAACAGTAATAATTCTATTAAACATAAAACTAATAGCATCTATTATTATAGTTTTAGTAACTTTAAGATTTTATTATTATTAGTATTTAGTTTTCTTATTGTTATTAATATTTCTTAATTTACTCTTATTTGGGGAAGGTTACCTAGGAAATATGATAAATGTCTTTCTAAAATCACTTTTGAAATAGACTTTAATTAGTTAATAAAATATTTTTAAGTGTTTCTCAGTTTTCTAGTTGTATGATGTAATCAAGCCTTTTGATGCTTAAAATTTTTTAGATATGATATTTTTAAAATTCTAGGTCTAATGCATACGTTTTTATCCCCAAACTTCTCAATAAGTAAACTAACAATAATTTCAGTAAAGTGGAAGTCAATTACAATTATCGTTTATGAATGAGCTATTAGTCACTATGAGTCTGTTGTATATACTTATAATATAGGCTTATAGGTAGACCTTATTACCCTAATGACTCATTTAATAATCGAACCAAATAGACCCATTTAACTCAATGGTAGAGTAATACCATGGTAAGGCGTAATATGATTTATCCTATATTAGTGGCAGAGCTAAAAGAAAAACCTAAAAACGACATTTCTAAAAAGGCCCACCATGCCGTTAGGCAGCTGCAACAACTCTAACTCAAGTTAATTGAACAATTGCAAGCTAATTCAATAGTCACCATTAGGCAGTGAGTGACGCTGCCCCTATCACCTGCCTCAAAAGACCCTAATTGGCAACAACTCGAAGCCCCCGGTAGAAAATGCACCATTTGTAACCGCAAGTTCTCTCAACTGCTAACTCTCTCGATACCGTCCTCTGTGGCCATCTCAACACTGGTGGTCTGATCTGCAACCACAGTAGCAAATTGACCCTACTTGCGTAAACTCGACTCTGTCTAGTGACTAGAACTTGCCCTGTGGACCCATGCATGCAAGACCCATAAGTGGGCAGTGCAAACTCATTAAGACCCGTAAGTGGGCGGTGCAAACTCATTCTCTTTCTTGACTTTTTAAACTGAGTTGATCAAATCACTTCACCCAGATTGATTATCTCCTTTTAGACTAGTTTGAGGTTACTCAAGAACTTTATCTACCTAAAGAGATTTTTCTAGAAGGTTAATATAAGGAGAAACTTAAGCCAACGATTGGGTCTAGTGATGTTCAACTCAGGATGAATTTGAAGCACTAATTGGTCAATATGTTGATTTCATCCTACCACAAGGATTTCACAAGCCTAGACAATTATATGTTTACATTATGTTTGCTGCTAAAAAGAATGATCTAGCATAGACTTTCTTGAATTTCCTGGGGAATGCTCGAATATCACTGTTTTAAATTACTCACCACTGAAAAAATCATAGAAGAGCTTTCTCCATTTTCAAGAGATCGTTGCAAAATGGTTTGGCATTGGTACTATACATTTTAGGAGTTTATTATTATAGCTTTAGTAACTTTAGGATTTTAATATTAGTAGTATTTAGTTTTTCAATTTGTATTAGTAGTATTATTTCCTAATCCTATTTTTTTTTTTGAGATAAAAGAATATATATTAAGTATACAGCAGGAAGGGGGTGCCACCCATGCACAAAAATATTTATATCTTGACTAAAACATCAATGACCTTCCCAAAATCATCCCGCCCATATAGGTCATGTCCTAATATTAGAGACCCAAAAACATTAATCCATTTATTTCTAATTTTGGTGATATCCCCCCCACACTCATTAAATGTTCTGTTGTTTCTCTCTTTTCATACCATCCAAAAAATAGTTTGAGGAATAAACTTTATATTTTCGACTTTTTACAAATCCCACCTCACACCCAAAGTTCAACCCTAACTGTACCTGCAATCACCTAGATGATACTCAGTAGACTGTACACCGTAGACCAAATATTATATGATAACTTTTGATTTAAAAGAATTTTGATTGAATGACTTGAAATAGGTGAATATACAAAATTTATAGTAATTTACAATGATCAAGACTGATATCTCTCTATCTACAACTATATAATCTAATTATGAAAAGGTATAAATATACAAGCTGTACAAATCAAATACTTTTTATTTATCACAACATCCCCCCTTAAATTAGTGCTGGTTGATCAAGAAGTATCAATTTGTCAACTAGAAGTTAATGACGTTGTCAAGTAAGTGACTTAGTAAATACATTAGCAATCTACAAAGTTGTGGAAACATGTGGAAGAGAAATATCATGATTAGGAACAATCTCTCGAATGTAATGACAATCCATTTTAATATGTTTAGTACGCTCATGGTAGACTGGATTAGTAGCAATTTGAATAGCACTTGTATTATCTGCATGAAGAGAAGTAGGAGCAGATTGAGGGAATTTGAGCTCAGTCAACAACCCTCTAAGCCAAGTAATCTCAGAGTATGCAACAGACACGACACGACACTTAGATTTGGTAGAAGATTTCGAGATCTGATTTTGTTTCTTACTCTTTCATGATATCAAGAAATCCCCAAGAAACATATACCAATATGTGACAGACCGAGGAGTATTTGGACAAATAGCTCAATTCGCGTCCCTAAAAGCACTAAATTGTATAGAAGATCCAGTAGGAAAGAATAAATCTCGACCTGGAGAACCACGAAAATATTTGATGATGCGATGAACTATAGTTGAGTGAAGATATCGCGGAGAGTGCATAAATTGACTAACTTGTTAGACAAGAAAGGAGATGTCAGGTATAATAATAGTCAAGTAGTTTAAGTTCTCCACTAATTGTTGATACAAAGGTGGATTAGAAAGTAGTTATCTCTCTTCCTTATGGTACTTAACATTCATTTCTAGAGGAGTATCAATTGACGAAGAATCCTGAAGACCAGCCAAAGAAATTAAGTCTTGAGCATATTTATGCTGATGTAAGATTATATCGGAAGAGTTAGAGTTAACTTATAACCTTAAAAAATATGTAAGCTGGTCAAAATCCTTCATTTGAAATGAATCGCGAAGATAGTGTTGAAGTTGAGTAATCAATAAAAAATATGTTCCCGTTATAACAATATCATCAACATAGACCAGTAGAATCACAATTCTAATAAAAGTTTTTTGCAAAAATAGAAAGAGTCATATTGACTTTGTACAAACTTAAATTGAAGTAAGGTAGATTGAAACTTCTCAAACCATGCCCGCGAAACTTGTTTTAAATCATACAATGAGCAATTCAACTTACAACTTTAGAAGTAGATGAAGAGAACAAATCGGAAGGAGGTGTCATATAGCTTCTCTTTGAGATCACCATGTAGAAAAACATTTTTTACATTCATTTATTTGAGCGGCCAACACTATGAAGCAACAATAACAAGAATTGTTCGCACGGACTACATTTTAGTCATAGGAGGAGCATATGTCTTCTCATAGTTTACCCCATACTCTCGTTGATTACCAAGGACAACCAATTTAGCCTTATAACGCTCAAGATTTACATCAGAGCAAAGTTTGAGTGAGCAAACCTACTTACATCCAATAGGTTTGATTGTAGGTGGACATGCAATAATGTTCTAAGTACGATTATTCTGAGGAGCCCAAAGTTCCTCTTGTTTTACTTGCTTCGACACTTATGCTTAACAAATTGGATTAAGAAGATGGAACTATAATAGAAGATAAACAACACCAAATAATGTATTATAAGAACTATACCAATTTGGAAGACGGGAGACTCTGATGGGGCATCTCAAGGGTGGTGGTGTAGGATCAGATGGCGGATCTGGATTAGGATGGGGGAGCTACGAAGGACGTCGTTCATACACATATCCAGACTTGAACTGATTAGGAGAAGAAGACAAATCATCAAAACTAAGAAGAATAGCTACATCAGGGAATGACTGATCACGAGTGGGAAAGAAAAATTGATTTTTGAAGAAAATGATATTACGAGAAACATGAAGATTCTTAAAAAATTGATTTATGAAGAAAACGATATTATGAGAATTACGAAACTTCTTAAAAGAAGCATCATAACAAACAAAACCTTTGTGATTTGTACTGTATCCCAGAAATGCACATTTAACAAATTGAGTAGAAAGTTTATGACATTCATGAGAGGACAAGTGACCAAAACAAATACAACGAAATATATATGGATGCCCATAGTGAGGATGCTGTTGATAAAGAAGAAAATAAGGAGACTCAAAGTTTATAGATTGAGAAAGTAGTATATTAATAAGATAAGTTGGTGTAGATAGATAAAGATTCAACCCAAAACTGAGGTAGAACATAAAATTTAAGTAACAATGTGCGAGTAACTTCTAAGAGATGGCGATTCTTTTGCTCATCCACATCATTTTGTTGAGGTGTGTGTGGACAAGAACGTTGTGAGATGATACCTTTTTCATTTAGAAATTCATAAAACACATTAAACATGTATTCTTTACTAGAATCAGATTGATGAA